CTATACATTAAAGGTCGAATAAATTTCTTTCCATCCTTACATGTTGCAATTGCCCACTCTTGAGTTGCCACCTTTTAACCTCACGGTATGATGCTGTGTGTGTGTGCACGCGCACGCCTGTGCACAAGGGTGTGTGTCCACGCGTGCCTTGGCCAGACAGACGTGCTGGACGTTCACAGTCAGACTCAGTCTTGTCCTGCGGAAGCCCAGCTAGGGAAGGCGGCTGGCGGCCCCCTGAGCGAAGCACGCCCTGTGCCCCACCAGGTGACTACGCCCAGCTCAGCCTGCGCATCCTGTACCTGGAGGCGGGGGTGTACGACGTGCCCGTCATCGTCACAGACTCCGGGAACCCGCCCCTGTCCAGCTCGTCCATCCTCAAAGTCAAGGTGTGCCCGTGCGACGACAAGGGCGACTGCACCACCGTGGGCGCCGTGGCAGCGGCCGGCCTGGGCACCGGGGCCATCGTGGCCATCCTCCTCTGCATCGTCATCCTGCTGAGTGAGTGCATCTCCCGGCGGCCCCCCACCCCCGGCCCGCCCAGAACCATTCAGACCGCGACCGGGCTGGTCCACACGATGACAGACACCGGCCCCCGCGGCCACACGAGCGCGGCCTCGTGCACTCACATGAGTGACCACACGCATGCAGGCGCACACGCACAGACGGGCACCGGGACAGGCAGGCACGCGGATGCGCACAGGGCACAGGGATGCACACAGGCATGCACGCCCGCTCACCCGCCTCCCCGCCCCTCAGCCATGGTCCTGCTGTTCGTCATGTGGATGAAGCGGCGGGAGAAGGAGCGCCACACGAAGCAGCTGCTCATCGACCCCGAGGACGACGTGCGGGACAACATCCTCAAGTACGACGAGGAGGGGGGCGGCGAGGAGGACCAGGTGAGGGGCCGCCGGCAGGGACAGAGGGGACACTCCCCCCGCCCTGCTCTCCCTGCCCACGTGCGCATCTCCAGGGCCGGGCGCGCACCCACAGGGGACCAGTGAGAACGCCTCCTTCCCCACAGCCACCCACCCGGCCGTGT